ACTGGTACTGAGAATCATGACATGGTATCCTTTCCACAGCAGAATGGAATGAAGTTCGAAACGACTAATGATGGGAGCATGGTTGTGGGATTACACCAGCCGAATGAAATGTTTACTTCTGTGGAGGGTTTCAGAATGGTATACCCTGAGGCAGAAATTCCTCAATGCTTCCCTTCGGAAACTGCTATGAATGGTGTAGATGAAACTGCGGGTTCTTTGATTTATCAGATCTCTGAGGGTGGAAATATGTCAATAGAAAATTGTAATCCTCTCTGTTCAGATGTTATGGGAACTTCATCCTGCCAACCATGTTCTGTTCCTTCACAGTTTTCTTCAGAGCAAAGCTCATTCATGTTTGGTATTGCCTCAAATCAGTTTCATAATCCTCCGCATCCAGCTCATGAGTCCCAGACAAGTAAATGTGATAGTTTTCCATATCCCATTGAATCTGACAGTCCTTGTGACAACATAATGGATGATCCTCTCCTGAAAGACCAACTGGATCAAACAAAAGATTCTGTACAGCTAGTTTCTGTGAATGATTTTGGCTCAACTTCTTCAAATACTATTCAAACATGTCCGATGGTAAATGGAAATTCAGCTGTAAAAGAAGAGAAGAAGGATGGTGGAGCCTTGTGCTATGAGCCGCCTCGTTTTCCGAGCTTGGATGTTCCATTTTTCAGTTGTGATCTTATACAATCTGGTACAGATACACAGCAAGAGTTTAGTCCTCTTGGCATACGTCAGTTGATGATGACTTCTGTGAACTGTCTTACTCCATTTAGGTTGTGGGATTCACCAAAAAGAGATGGTAGTCCAGATGCCGTCTTGAGAAGTGCTGCCAAAACTTTCACAAGTACACCTTCTATATTAAAGAAGCGACACCGTGATTTGGTGTCACCTTTATCAGAAAAGCGATGTGGAAAGAAGCTTGAAAGTGATCTCCGTCGAGAATCATTTTCTAATCTGGCTAAGGATTTTTCTCGTCTAGATGTTATGTTTGACGACTCTGCAAATGAAAAAGCAATGTCTTCCCTAACTAAGGATCAAACTGTGGAACTTCAAGCTTCAGATGAAGATAAAGAAAACATAAATCCAACTGAAGATGGACGAAAGGAAGAGGACAAGGGATGCAATGGACATTCGATCTGTGGAACTTCTGGGAGACAGTTAGATGGAGGTGAAGTCCACTATAAAGATCAAGGAACAAGGGAGGGCAAAAGAATTGGAGCCAATGCTGCAATTGGAAAGGTGAATCAAGTCATTTTGTTTCCTTTTGGCACCACTTTGTGTTTTCTGAGAGTGGTGGTGGTATCAATATTAGCATTACCATTTAATACTCCCTCCGTCTTATTTTATGGGAGGTAGTTTCACTCGGCACGGTGTTTAAGAAAGAAAGGAAGACTTTTAAAACTTGTGGTCTAAAATGAATGATATAAATTTGTGTGGCTATAAATTATTTCATTAAGGTCTTTATCAAATTTTTTTTTATTAAAATAGACATTTTAAAGTTAAATTGTTACTTAAATATGTGGACTAAAATTCAATGAAAATTTTCTCAATCAAAAAACTGGAGCTGGATGTTACGAAATTCCTTCCTTTCCATTCAAGATCTTCACTATCTGTATTTCCTTTGTTCCCTTTTTTTCTAATGTGATGGTGCTCTACACTCTTCTACTCTTGTTGCATGATACTGTAACATCTTTTAAAGTCAATCTAAATTTGATGTTGACGTTTAAAATTCTTGCACAGTTTTAATGTGGTTATGGCAACTGCCTGTGTTGATTTACGTATTGTAAGACCCATTCAACTTTTTCGACAGAGAATCCTTTAATTGGAAATAACTTTTATGCTCTGCTTGTTTCAGATAAAACAGCCTTCTGGAGTTCTAGTTGAACTTAATGCAAGTGATCTGTTCTTTTCTCCTGATCGTTTTGGAGCCAACGCTGACAGAGCTACAAATCTAAGCAATAAAGCTTTAGGAAATCAGTATGCTAGACGGATCGAAGCTGCATCAAACCAAGGTTCTGTTTCATCTTCATTTGAGACTTCATGTTTCTCTGTTATTTGCTCTCCTCGTATACGTGGAAAGAAGGATGGAAGTAGTTTTGTTATCACTACATCGATGCAATCTGCTCCCACATCAACTGCCTTGGAGAACTCAGCTGAGACTTCAGGAAATGGAGTTGGAGCTGAGACTGTAAGCATGTAAGATAGTTGCTGTTCTTTTTATATTCTTTTATTATTTTTCCAATACCCTTTGCACAGCATTTCTGTCCTGCAAAATTAACGGTGCATTGACCCTGTTTCTCCACAGATCTGGAGAAACACCTTATAAAAGGAGTATTGAATCTCCTTCAGCTTGGAAATCTCCATGGATCTTCACCCCTTTCCTGTCAAGCCCGAGACTTGATAATGAACTTACTTTTGAGGTAAATAGGATTTTGGAGATTACATTACGCATTCTACGATGAGACTCTAATATCATTATGTTTGCTCTTTTATTCTGTTCAAATTCCGGGCTCTTATTTATGTACTTCGAAACTTCGTAGGATCTTGCACTGTTTATGAGCCCAGGTGACAGAAGCTATGATGCTATTGGATTGATGAAGCAATTGAGTGAGCAGACTGCTGGAGCATTTGCAGATGCCCAGGAGGTCTTGGGAGGTGATACTCCAGAGACAATCTTACGGGGGAGGAACTCCAAAAACCAGAAAGCAGATGAAAATCATTCTCTTTTGTCAGCAAATGCTATGGTATGTCCAATCCCAATGTCAAGATGATTGCAAAACAATCTTGTCCCCAGTTATGATATCTTTTAATATCCTATGCTAATTTATGTATGTGTTTTCACATGTCATCACTATGCAGTTTCATTTATGTGTTTTCACTTTTAAGATATACTAACTATGCAGTTCTTCAGAAATTTAAGCACCTTTGCCTCCCAATCTTTTTATATTCCTTTTGGAAATGAACTTGAGAGGAAAATACTGTTGTTCTTCCTTTTTAAGTTTGTTCTGAAAAGAATGACACCTATCCTGTAATCTTCTTAACTTTAAACTTCCCCATTTTTTATTCTGAATGACATTCATATCCATAAGAATGTCTTTTTATTATTATGACCACAAGTCCTTGGGAAATGTTAGGCATGTGCCAAAAGTCTAGTGTTTTCTTTCTCAAATTCTGTTTCCAGTCACAACATCAACATGAAAAATTAGGAATCTGCTCATCGGTTAATTTACTAGTCATGAGAGTTAATTGTAACTTTCCTATCATCTGTTTATTTGCAGAGTGAGAGGCGTACACTCGACTTCAGTGAATGTGGATCACCTGGAAAGGGAAAAGAAACTGAAAAATGTTGCTCAAGCAACAACAGCTTTTCTAGTCCTTCTTCCTACCTCTTGAAAGGCTGCAGGTAGCAGCAGCAAATCCTTTCAGGATGGGTGGAAATTCTTGCTGTAACATATATAAGATTTGATATACCTGTGTGTATTTATTTATTTATTATTTTTGCCTTATACAAATACTTGCCCAATTGTTTGTCAAAAGATAATGGATTAGATATTATCATTTCATTAAACATTATTATTCTGCTTAATCCCATTTGCTAAATAAGAAGTCTATTTTTGTACAACAGCCCCTCTTGAAGCTTTTATTTTGCAGGAAGCAATGAAATTAGACTGAAATTGCTTGTACTAACATGTTCCATTTTTAGTACAAGTTTTAAAATATATATGGTTTTGTTACATACCAATTATCATTGGTTGACCTTCCTTGAACTCGTCATGGAGTTTTAAACTGAGTTACTTAGGTCCTGAGTTTGTGTGTTTCCATTGAGAAATGTGGTGTGGGTTTATCTATGCGCTCCACTTTGTATTAAGCAACCTTTTGCACTGAAATTTTTCATTTTGCACATAATGTCTAATTATTCTTGATAAATACTCTGTGAATCAAGGGACAGATGATTAGAAGAAGCACAAATTTGTATGGCATAAATTAGTAAAACTACTCTTGTGATTTATAAGGAAAGGAGAAAGTAGATGATTAATATGAGATGGGAAAAGAAGAAGTCAAATGCCCTTCTGGTTTGGGCTTGGTACCTTCGGAGGGACGAGCTTGACGCACCGGGCTTACCTAATAAAAATAAATTTCTAGGGGTTAAGTTGATATGAAATGGATAGAGTAATTAGAGAAAATCTCTGATTTTGTACAAAAAGGCAGATTGTGATCTTTTTCACTGATTTTTGCTACTGCAAGTATCGCTAAGGTATAGAGAGCTTAACAAAGCTAAAAGAAAGAAACAATCTTTTTTTTTTATGTATCCACTGCTTTAGTTTCTTATGTTTTCCTCTGTTGCTTTTATCTTACTACTTTAATTTTTTAAACTAGTCTTCATAACTTGTTAACAAGCTACCTATTTTTAGTAATTATGTAATTAAAACTATGATTTTGTAGGGAGATACCTGGCTAAATTAATTTTAAAAAATGATGTTGTTACTGCGAGTACTATAACTTAACTAACTCAACAAAGTATAAAAAATGATTACATTTCACTTCATTTGCCGTATCAATTCTTTTGGTTCTTTTGTTTTTCCTTGTGTTATTTCCCAACAATTCTTCACTTTTTTAAAAAATCAACAATTGATACTAAAGTAAGGCTTTAGATCTTTGGAGACAATAGAATAGACGTAAGAGTCATGACTATACTGAGTCGGTTGATAAGGAATATGAGATACATAAAGCTACTATTCCATGAATTGACATATTCCATCGGATTACTTATCAGCGTTACTGTATAAATATTCAATGTTCCACCTTCACTTCATTGCACGAAGTCGAAAAATGTAATAAAAACCCCAACTGAGATGGCACTCAACAATCAACTAATTTCCCAAAGAACCAACACCATAACCAGAATTTTTAATCAAAGATACCAATGTTGTAGCACGCTAATAAGATGATGAAGAAATGAGGTTTTTAATAAGATATGCTAGTAACGATTGAAGGTATGCTGAAGAGGTAACGAAAATTGGTTTTGCTACATTAAGCAAAATATATTTATTCTACATTACAGATACAGGTTTATTATAGCCTCCAACTTAGGAGAGGAAACTAGTTATTACAAGGAGGGGGAATTGCAATCGAGTTTTAACTTGAGCGGGAAATACTCGGCCAACTTAAAGAGAACATGATGTAAAACAGTAGTAGCCAGTAGTGAACTCAACGAGCCCGAGTCACAGCAGCATGGATGGCATCTGTCAGGTGTGGAACTGTCCTGGAGCTTAGACCTGCCATGCTAATGCGTCTACAAAAATAAACATGTGTTCCATGTCAAGGGTGTATCTGATAGTCAAGCTTCATAGAGGTTATCACAATTATATACCGACTAGTACGAATCATGCTGTAGAAGTGTTCATCAATACGATCATATTTTTCTTACTGTTCCTGAAAGCTAAGGTAGAAAGTAACTACAAAAAGAACCAAGTGATGACTTTTAGGATTTTAACATGTTCTCTCGTACCCTCCCTTCCCATTTTCTGTTTTACCTGCCCCTTCTAATAAAGTCACATATCAGTTGATGGAGAGACATAATATTGTGTAATATGACACGAATAGAACTTTGTGACGTAGAAAAAACATATTACCCATCTGATGTCATGTAGATGTGGTATTCTTTGGTCATGAAGGCGACTTGTTCTTTGTTAAGTCCTGTGAAAGTGAACATTCCAATCTGCTTGATAATGTGACTCCAGTCACCAGGGGTACCTGCCAAGCAAAGAAACGTGAATAGGAATAGATAATCTTGTTCATGCAATGTTTGACATTTAAATGGATTAAAGAGTGCTTGACCGGAAGTAAGGAATTGACCAAGTATAAAGACATCATGATTCTAACATCTGATGTGCCTACAGAGTTAAGAATGATCTTTTAAATATAATGCGGATGGAGTTCAAATCAGAAACAGATCTATCAGAAGACAACTTGATCAATAGTTTCACGTCACCAAAGGCACCACATAAAGATGCGCTTGGGGATGGTTTTCTAAGGGTAGAAAATCTATTCAGCTGTCATCATGAGGTGTTAGTTCCATTAGAATGAGCAATATTTGATGCAAGGAGAATTACAGAAGGACTTGATGAGAGCAATAAGGGAGATCGAGATGTATTATGTTATGAAGAAATGATTAAAATTGTCTACTTCCAGGTTTTGTTTTGCTTTACTTTTTTCTGGTTAACTTTCATTCAGGAGAATCAGCTTAGTAAAAGTTGGTCTTTTTCATCAACTATGTAGGGCAAATGAGCTGGACATATTGCAGCAGATTCTATAGGCAGCTGTGTACAACATTCATATGTAATTTTCATATATAAGGACACCTAACATGAATGATCAAATGAATAAAAAGAGCAGAGACCGATGCAATACATATGGAAAACATGAATACGTGACTGCTACCAATGTTACCTTTAGCACGTAAAGCATCAAATAATTGCTGGCGCATTCTGATGATTCGATCAGCCATCGCTTTCAACTCAAGAGTCCATTCATGGTACAAGTTTCTGCATGAAAGTAGTGATTTATTTTGCAGAACAATGACTAAACCTAATTTCTGAACATAAACTGAATTATTATATCATACAGAAACTAGGAAATGCCTTTTAGTGTCCGTGAAGCAATGTCCTGATGGCTGATATATTACCTGTCTTTGAGGATTGTAGCAACTATAGACGCACCGTGAATTGGTGGATTGGAATACATTGGCCTAATCACCAACTTCAACTGGCTCTCAACTCTGCTAGTTACATCAGCATTTCTGCACACCTGCAGATTTGAGAAAATTTAAAAAGATGACACTGTCAGCAGAGTCTGTGATAAACTGCAATACATGATATTATGCGGACTGCCTCCCATAACAAGTTCTCCATTCATTCTTTCGAAGATGGAACCGCTACGCTACAAACTTTTGATATCTCTTACTGACGGCAAAAATTTTTAGGTCATGTTCTAAGCTGTCAAGTTTATATATTTTGAAGTAAGCTATGAGGGTTAAGCAGTTCAGTAGTTCATAACTTCGACTCTAATGTACCTCCAGTGTTCAGCACCAGAAAAAGGCCAATTTAGAAAACAATAAGAAGAAGTATGAAGAAGTATCATTAGAATCAAACATTATTCAAGAAAAAAGAAGACACCACAACAAAAGAACAAATGAACATTTCATATGTTTCTGAATGGGCAGGGCACACGTTATCATTTTAGACGTACTATGCTTAAAGCTCCGACACGTTCACCATAAAGCCCCATATTCTTTGCATAACTTTGAGCAACAAGTACTTCACCTCCATCTGCCACAAACATGCGAACAGACTGTGCATCTGTATCTAGGCTTCCACTGGCAAAGCCCTATAGTATAAAAGTTCAAATATCAAGATTAATCAACATATATCAAAAAAAAATGTCTCATCTGAAAATGCTCCCATAAAAAAGCCAAAAAGCTCTAGCTTTGGTTTGTTGGTGATTTTTCTACCTGATATGCACTATCAAAGAAGGGTAGCAATCCTTTTGATCTCATCAATCTCCTAATTTGCTCCCATTGATCTTTGGTTGGATCCACACCAGTGGGGTTATGTGCACAAGCGTGAAGTAACACTATCGCTCCTGATGGAGCGGATCCAAGGTCTTCCAACAAACCTATCATGTATGAAAGGAAAATTTCATATATAAGTCAACATCACGCTGACACAAGCATACAATATTAAAAGTTACTCCCTCAGGTTTGAACATACGGATTATAAAACATTTAAGTTAAGATGCGTCTTATATTCCATTATCATCAAGTAATACATTTATTTTCCTCCACTCTCTTATTTTCTCACATAGCATTAGAGCGTCTATGATCATGTAGATAACCCTAAATAGCTTTTTCTCTTTCCAGTGCCCATTCCGTTGGCACCACTTCTCTTTACTGTGACTACAGTCGCAACATCTAGCCTCTTTCCTTTGACTATTTCAATAACCTGTGCCTCTTTACTACGCCGCACCACACTTCGTTTGTTCTGGTAACACAGGCTCTTTTAGATAGTTTAATTCCCTCCACCCTCTGGCCTTTCAGTAGCACCGCCTCCTTTGACCAGCATTATTCCTATTCTTCCTCCTATGTTCTGACCATTGCGGCGGCAATTTTTTTTACAACATTTCAGCAACTACATTTTTTGACAAGATCCAATGATTTGTTGATCTAATTGGGTACTTTTCTATGTTTTCAGGAAAAAGTCAAATTGTTTAGATGTGTGTTGCATTCCATTATTACCAAGTTACAGATTTATCTCCATTCCCTGATTTTCTCATGGGAAATATAGTTATGAGGAAAAACCACAGAGGATGATGTCTTTACAACCTTGTCAAATTACTAGAGCCGGTTTAAATTTGTGTCTTTACTATTTACACAACCAAATAAGTGATTCAGCCACAACTTGATACAGATTTGTGACAATTTGCAAGACTGAAAAGAATATCCTTCTTTCAAGAAGAGAGTAATAACAAACTGAACAGCCAATTTTCGCATATAGCCACTTAAAATAACTCAATTATGCTCCATAACTATAGTTTGCTAATTACAATTCTTAGCTACACGTTAGAGGGAGGAAAGAGGCAAGAGAGATAGGGAGAGGGACGAGAGAGGTGAGCGAGAGAGGGCAGAGCGTAGAGAGGTGAATTATATATGTATATCTGTTAGATAATTGTATATATTTAACTAGTATGTATATGTATCAATGATTGTATTTGTATACTACATACGATTTGTATTTGTATACAATAGAATGGAGTTCAAACATTTGTATTTATATATCAGTCTCTCTCTCGCTTTATACAAACATTTGTGTTTGTATAAAGCAAGAGAGAGCCAAGCAGAAGAGAACTGGGCAAGGAGAGATTTGTATTTGTATAATTGGAAGTGTATAAGGCGGATACATGTGCATTCGTATTTGCATATCCAATCTTTCTCTCACTTTATACAAACATCAGCACAAATTATACATTTGTATTTGTACAATTTGTATTTTTATAAAGTGAGAGAGAGACTGGGCAGGGAGAGAGAGTTGACTGAAAAAGAGGAGAAAGGCGAACGAGATTCCAGAGAGAGTGGAGAGACGCAACAGAGAGAGAGGAAGAGAGGAGAGTGGAGAGAGGCAACAGAGAGAGAGGAAGAGAGGAGAGTGGAGAGAGGCAACAGAGAGAGAGGAAGAGAGGAGAGTGGAGAGAGGCAAGAGAGAGAGGAAGAGAGGAGAGAGGAGAGAGGAGAGAGAGGGGAATGTAATTATAGCTAGAAGTAATTTGAATTGTGATTAATGAGAACTGTAGCTATATTAGCTAATTAACTAGTATACGTTCGCTTAACCGCGTAACTTTCCCTAAATATATATATGTACTGGAACGATATCATGTTACATCACTTTCTTGTAGGAAGAAGTTTCGTACCTTGAAAATGGAGTCCACGGGTTGCTGGATCATAGTAGCGGTAACTCTTAACTGACAACCCAGCTAAAGCGAAAATTTTTGTGTGGTTTCCCCATGTTGGTTGGGGAATATAAATAGTACGCTGCAGAGAGAAATACATCAAGGTCAATTCAACTTCAAAGATTGTGTACCCATTCAAGCAAAGAACTGAAGGAAACAAAAATGAAAGATGAGAAATCAAAGCAGTTTTACTTGATGATAGTGTTGAGCCAAAAATTCACCCCCAACTCTCAATGAGCCTGTGCCAGACAAGCACTGGACAGTTGTTACTCTGTTCTCTTGAATAGCAGGGCTGTTACAAGCAAAGAAAGAAAGATCATAAAATAAAGGTCACTAGTATTAGATGTATTTAAAATCGAAGCATATTAACAACTCTCTTTTAACCTTGATTTATATGAAAGCAAGTCTAAAGTTTCAGCCATCCTTAACTTGAGAACATATGAAAGAGCATGATAGAAATAAGATAAACATGTCTGACAGCTCTAGACATTGATCTTACGCTTCACCACATGCATCGAAATTTTCCTATTTAGATGCTAGTGCTCTAACCAAATTTCGAAACCACATTTGCAAATAATTGTGCCTAAATTAGATTACAGAATGAAAACACACAGAAAAGTTGAGGGTACATCTGATAGCACCAACAACATAGAAGCTAAACATATAGAAGTGAATGGCAGTTCCAAGAACAACCTACTCATGGAATGACATGGACGGGATCAGAAGTTGACTGAAAAATGCAATGTGGGCAGTAGATGTTAATAGAAGCTTCACAAAGATTTACCAAGCAATCAACCAAACACTTGGTAATGAAGCCTTTATATTTCAAGGTACTATCTTATGCAACTACATACATTATTTATCTGCCTGCGTATCTCATCTGCAATACTAAACAGAGAATGGTAACTCTTTTACCTGTCAGCACCAAGTATCAGCTTAGCACTCAATTTATTGAAGTCTGCCAACCCAGTGATCGGAAGGTACTCTTTAATGCGAGACCTGAAGAAACCTTGAAGGTTAATCACATAGGTTTAAGAAAATATATGGGTTCATAATTCTTGAAACGGAAAGCAAGTACCTATCATTTACTAGTAGCTGTTCTGCTTGTCTAACAACATTCAAAACAAGAGGTTTTCCTTCCTGATACCGCCGCACAAAGGGGAAAAGGAACACATTAGTATTTTTAGATGATATAATGGAATATAGCATCACAAGCTAACGATCCCCGGAATCAATAGCCAGCCAGGAAAACTCAAGAGCTTCTTCTGAAATCTGAGGAAGGAGGAGTACTGAGAATCCTCAAGTCCTTTGTCAATAAACTTCCTTCCCAATTATTCCTCCAACGAAAAGATATTAAGAAACTTAAATCCAACTAGGAACTTTAACATCTCAATTTACTCGGGCAGGCAAAAAAAAAGAACTAGTTTTAGTCTGTGAGTGTAAAATCAATATGTCAACTTGATAGATCCATTGTTTTGAGTACACTTGGAGAAAGGTTGGAGCAATTCAAACCCCCAGAAATAAACACCTCCATGACAAATTGTTGATGGACTCTAGTTTCTTAACAATAATATTATGCAATATACAAATTGGTTTTGACAGAGTCTGATCCAACTAGCCTACAGAACAAACGCAATATATAGAAACTGTTTAGTCTGCTTTGACAAGTTGAAATCACAAAGTGACAAACTTAGTAGATATATAGAAACTGTTTAGTCTGCTTTGATTTTTGTTTTACCCCTCAGAAAAAAATCAGAACCATATACTGTGTTTGGCAATGATATAACATGGAAATGGAAGCAATTTGAATTTTATCACTGACTATGACAATCTAAAGGTCGTTTTTGTGAAAAATATAGATGATTTTCTGGAGATACAAATAATCCTAGATATTTAGTCGAACTTCCTTAAGTTTTATAGCGATATCTTTAGTATTTGTTGTATCTAAGAAAAGTTTAGATGATCTAAAGAATTAGATATTTGTACTTCAGAAAAATCTAGATAGTCTAGAGTATTAGATAATTGAGGGAGATATTTGAAGAAGAAGTTAGAATAGTCTAGATTCTTCCCATGTAAAATCATCCCTACACAACTATAAATAGGGGTGGTAGTAGGCATTTGAATATAACCTAAGACCAACCCAAATCAAATAGTCTTCTTCTATAACAAAGTTACTTTATCGAAAATTCTTTCTCCTTTCTAGCTTCCTCTTATTTAGTTGAATCTTCACATCTTAGTTAACGAGTTTCCCTATTATACTTTTCTTATGCTAGTCTCATAGTTTTCCATATTAACCACTTCCTCCATTTCAATTTCCTTGGCCTACTTTGACTCGGATGGAGTTGAAAAAAAATAATGAAGACTTTTGAATCTCTAAATAAAAGATTTGTTAAATGAACCAACGTGTCTTTAATCTTGTGGTCTGAACTATGTCCATGTGAAAAGTTGAAATTAAAGAGTTGCTAAAAAGAGAAAGACTCGTTATTACAGAGAGAGTGCTAGTAAATATCACAGAACATCCAAGTAGGCTAAATTAAATTATCAGTTACGGGTTTATGCAACCCATAATCTTAAAAAAATCATTTCTTAGCAAAGCATCCATCAAACACTTCAGAGTTGGATGAACTATTTACAACCAAATTAACACAGCAATCACCACGACAATCACAACTTAAGAAACTGAAAAAGGAAAATCTGTTGTCAATACTCATTAGTAATTTCTCGTGTTTTTGGATTTCAATCATGGAAATATCAAAATCACGATTGCTTATCTACCAAAAACAGAGTACTGCATTTATGACAAGAATGTTAAATTAAAAAATTAAGCAAATGAATGATCACCTCTGTCCTATACGCACCAACTCCCAAGTTCAACTTCATGGGGCTGGTATCTTTGTTGTATGCAACAGTAACCTAATAACCAAAACATAACAACCAAAATATGTCACCAAGCTTCAATCAATCTATATTTGAGATCTCAAAAAAGGCAAAATCACAAGAAACTAAACTAAAAGTAGACCTCAACAATTAAACACACTTTCGGAAGATATTAATAACCGGTTTTCTATTCGGCCGCGTAAAACAGAATCAGAGAACTTGATCCATGAATTTCATCTCTTCCTCAATAAGATTTTTTTGAAAAAAAAAACACAGAGAAAATTCAATCATTTCCATTTCAATTTCCATCAATCGGACAAAACTCAAGTGGTCGAACTCACAGAACTATATCATCCATTTTTGTATATTGAATTCTTTTAATAATAAAAATGGATGTCCTCACGATTAAAAAAAGCTAAAATTCCTGAAAATTCAGCTCATAATAAGAAAAGTAAACACGAAGACTTAGAGAGAGAGAGAGAGAGTGTTACGCCGAGAATAGGATCTTCGGGAGCGCGAACGATATGAGAGAAAACAGACTGTTTTCCATCATTTCCTGAGGTAGGAGCACCGACAATGGAGTGGTTGCTATGACCTTCAACGGCAACGGACGACGGTTCAAGGTGCCTCGCCAGAACACTCAACCTCCGATCGGCGGAGGGTGACGGTGATTGTTGTGTGTGCATTTTAGTAGTACGGAACTTTTGCTTGCTACAGTACGCCTTCCTTTTTAAAGTTTGTTTACTCTGGACAATGATCTGTAAAATCCTTTATATATAGTAGTAGAACGGGAAGGAGGAAAAGAGCTAGGGTGACGGGGTGGGTGATGGGATCGGTGTTATCTGATGACATGGCAGTTGTAGGGCCCACAATACTAACTGTCTATTTATTGGCGTTATTAGATGGCGATACGCATTCTAGATGAAGGACGGACTTTTTTTTAATATCTATGTGGCACGTTCTTCAAGAAATGAAGATTTTGTTGATTACGTAACCTTTTATTTTTTGGCTTTCAAGCAAGGTGTTTGAACTTTGATTTATAGTATTGAAAAATTATTTAAGGGTCAAGACTGAATGTTATGAGAGTTGTTATTTTATTAACTTACTAAAGCCTAGATATATATAAAATATCTTTATCCGACAAGATATTTGACTGATACAAAATTTTTAAATTAAAAAATATTATTTATTGTGTAAAAAGAATAGACTTAGCTTAAAAAACCTTTTATTGGATCACCGAATGCTTGCTAAAAAAAGAAAAGGAAATTAAAGAGAGGTATGTACAATGGTATTCCTTCAACACCTTTGTTGGGATGGTTGTACCATTGTGTTAGTATTGTATTATTAATTTAAATACGAGATATGTTTTAATTGTAACTTAAAATATATTGAATGTAACAATGAAAAACCTAATCGCATTGTTATCTTAATATTTTTATACCCGAAACAATATATATAACAACCCTCCAAACAAAATGTGATAAAAGAAAAAGCTATGGAAGATAGGAATGTACACAATAAGCAATATATTACTCATCAAAAATAAGTTAATTTGGTTTTATCCAACTGTGTCGTTGATCTTTGTATGCAAGTTTTCTATCCAACACAAAATATTGTGGCATACTAATCAATGACTTAAAAGTAATTATTATTGGTGATTGGAAGTGGCATATTTATATCATTCTTAAGAAAAGGCAACTTTGTATTGTATTAATAGATTACAAAGCGAGAGAAAAAATTGTTTCTAGTCACTAATCAACAAAGCTTGGTGTTCTCAAAACCGAAACATACTCTCATTCAACTTTCTGCATTTTCCTCAGTACAAAAATGAAGCTCAAAGCAAGTTAAACGCTACTGATACTATAACATAGGAAGGTGGCTTACTCCAGCTTTATCCTGTCAATATCAGTCATGATCCCTTCAAGCTGAAAAAGAAACGAAACACGTCGAATGAATATGTGGCAAAATAAAATGTGAATAAAAACCATGGCTGAAAATGCTTATACAAGAATTACCTTCACAATCTGACGCAAAAAGTAATCACCATACTTCTTCGCGGACTTAGATTCTACAACACGTACCATATCCTGGAATGAAAGACATTGTGAATCACTTTGTCAGAATGTATGATAGTGTTTACTACCTTGGGTTAGAAGAATAAGCACAGTAAATATTCTACATGCATTTATGGCCTTGTGTTATTTGTACCGAAAGCTACAGGAGAGACTAACACATGTTAAATGACACCAAAACCAGCAAAACAATCAATAAGAAATGCCCACACTTGTTCGCATCTCTTCAGAACAAGAATAAAGGTAAATGCTGAAAAACAGTTCACGGTTGATTATTCCCAAGCTACTCAAAAGACATTATTTTGAATATGATCGAAAAAGACCGACTATAAAACCCCACGCACATTACCTAGATTATATCAAATAAATAATGTAGTCAGCCATCAATTACCCAATGGAGAAAGGATTAAAGGAACAAGATGACAAGATTTTTACATAATATGTTTCTTACTTCATCTATGTAGAAGTCCACATCGGCATTGGAAATTATCTTGCCATCAGAATCGACAGCATGTGTTTTGTGCTTGTATGTCATCAAAACCGCTCTGCATAACAATGAATTCAGTATATAAGCCCACAAATGCATATATCACAGCTGAGAATTTGCATGATAACAAACCGCTAAATGCATTAGATATTTGAGACCTTAAATTGGGTTCATCCAAATCCATGTAATTTGCAAGCTTCCCCAGGGAGATTGTTGAATACACTTTCAAATAGGACCTAACACCAGCCAATAATTGTTGCTGCTTCACTTCATATAGAAACATCTTCAATTGTAGCCTATAGGCATCCTGAGGAAGACAATATAACTAATTTAATAGCGATGAAAGCTGTGTAAAAGCTGAAGAAAAAATGTCATGTGGTCGGAGCATGCAAAACCATCATCTGTGGTGGTTCAAATGTGGAGTCAAGAAATAAGAAACATAGAGAAACCGTTCACATAAAATACACAAGGATCCTTGTAATGGAGATTGAAGGAGCAACTTGGATGTAATTGAAGTAAACATTTCTAGAAACAAATGAACATTTGCATGGAGGATTGAGGAGAACAATCTGTATCTTTATATCTTTAAACTAACCTTGCAGGTGGGATAAAAAGGACCAGAAACTAAGACTAGTTAAAATAGGTACCTGGTTGTAATTTACGAGAGGCTCCTCAAAACTTGGAGCAGAAGGAGTAATGAACTTAGGACATGCATATGAGAAGAGCTCGTCATAGAGTGCAGATGCCTCCTCATCATATCTCAGCATCCTCGCCATCTTCTCACCATACTTCTCCCTTAATTGAGAATTCACAGTTTCTTCAACAAGTTTCACTTGAGGGCACAATGACAAAGCAATAGCCAACAGGGCATACATCTGCTCATTTTTCTTCAGTATCTGCTCATACTGGGGTGACTTCTGGTGATACTGCTTTGTCTTATAAATATACAGAAGGATTTTGTTAAACTCATGGATAGCCTCTACATACCTGCAAAATGGTGAACCCATTTTCCAGATTAGAGGAAATAAAACTTCTCTGCTAAAGCCAAACCAAATACAAATAGAACTGTAAGCACTTGCAGATGGGTCAGGTGGCTCCTTGTTGAGTTAAAAGAGAAGTGCATACTACTTTCTAGAGGTGGTAAATCACACCCAACCCGCCCAACCTGTTTAAGTTTAACACGCCCATTTATTAGCTCAGCCCATTTCAACCCGAAAAAATTGGATTGATAAATTGACTCATGAGATATGTTGTCAAAATATTTTTTAAGAAAAAACTTTTTTTTTAATTTGATATGTTATATATAGCCATAATACAGAAAAAATAATTTCATTAGGTACTAAAATGTTTTAAAAGAACAAATAAAATAATTAAACTTAGTAAAACTTGGGTTGAGTTGGATCTTGACCTATTCTATGAGTACTGCTTGCCCCGTTTTGACAAACCCATTCTGATCCAAGCAAAATTCGTTGGGTTGGGTTTTGACCCATTAGGACCCTAGTTCATTTAATTTGATTAGAACACTCACAGACCAGCAATTTCCGCAAAATGGAAGGAACGCATATTTTAAAATATGCATGTTAGTAAATTCTTGAGTAAAAATAGAAGTATACACAATCATACAGAACTGTACAGTACATGTAACAGAAATGCAAGAGTTGGGAGAAAATAATGATCAACATACCTCCTCAACATAAGATTAGCAAAACCATAGTGATATATTGTGGTTATGTGGCTCCCAATAACACTGGTGTAAACTCCCTGTTGAGTTATGTCAATTGGACGTAAACACTTCAGGCCAGTATGATAATCACCCAACAGACAATGAACTCTGAGCAAGCCTATCATGCTGAAATAGCCCAAAACCTTCAAGACATTACTTCCACCACTGTAATCATACCCATCAGTAGCAGTAAACTCTTCAAGACCTTCCTTTTCCCTCTCCAAGATTTGGATTATTGTAGATTTCTCCACAAGGGCTTGTAAGAAATTGAGAACACCGTAGACATTCCAAGCCTAATAAACATCATTATTAGAGTGATTTTTTAGACAATAAAATCATAAATGGTTTATTAAATCATAATAAGAAATATGTTGGTTAAAAAACACATCTTAGTTGTCCAAGTCAGGCTTTGACAGCCAATCCAATCTCTTCACCTAATGACCACTTTGCACTATAATGATTAACATCCATCAATACCATAACTTTATCCCATTATTAAACCAATATAGTTTTGTCCACAGTGGCAAAACCAAAAATTTTGCTAAGGGTTTTCATTATTAATTAATATATACCTAAGAAAAGTAAGCTATGACCTATATACTAGATATAATTGTCAATGTATACAGTGTAATTTTTTGACAAAAGGATGTATAATTGAACACCCATCACTGTACGTGGCGGCTCCACAGTTTGCCCATTCATGAAACACCATACGCCAATATATGACCTTGGAGACAAGCTACAAGCAATTCTTACTCCATCACGACAATTTATGACCCTAGCTATAGCTATAGCTAAAAGGAAACTATTACCCAAACGTAACACATCAATACCCTGGATAATAAACTGCAAACAGCTAAAAGATGCCACAGAAGAATGATTTTTAAAAACAAATACCGGATAAAAGATGCTTGAGAACAATGTTGCAGGGTTTACAGTTAAAAAACAATGTTACAGATTTATGCATTTACTAATAATACATGTAACCAATAATAATTCAAGGGAACGCAGATAACCACATGGTCAATATTGTAATGTTCAAAAAAATTTCCTAGTTTTATCTAAAAATCAAGTATCAAAGATAAAAGAGTAATTATGCAAAAAATAATAAAACGCAAGAAAAAAATTATAAAGATCCTTAAAAAGTAAAATAGAGTACTAACTGAACAAATTTCAAAAGTATATTTCAGATAGTGCTATAACTTGGACAATCTTAATAGATTAAACTATAGGGAAGAAGAAAAAGCATCGTAATCTGTCAGCTCTACCTGGTCGTACTGCCTAAGCAACGCGATCTCTTCTGCAGTTTTGCTCTTCATCTTTGCACGGTATTGACAGAATGCCTGGAATTGGTATACAAACTCATCTACCATGTCCCACAACCACTGGTTTGGCAATTGCATGTTAACCACACCATGCAGCACCACCTACAGCAATGCAGTCTATGTGAAACTCAAGATTCATTTTACGAAGC